TTCCGGGGTAGATGTTATTTTGAAGAGAATTTTGCATTAGGATTATTGAAGAAAATTTAATTCCGGGTCCTGTCACGCATTGGGGATGAAACTCTGATGGTTTAAGCCTGAGAAGACACATTGGCGCCCAACGTAACAGACACACGGGTGGGCGGCTCTAAATTTTAATAAAATAAAATTGCTGAATATTTCAATATTAATCTTGACAGAGAGGTTTTTTTTTTCTTTGAACTTTGTTTTAGAGGAGATTAGGTTTTTTTGCATATAGACAAGTGGATTAATATTGTTAGTGAAGATCGGGATGAGTAATATAGACAAATTCCTACTTAGTATGAATTTGTCATACTTTAATCAGCAAACATTTGACCATTTTTTGGTTTTATTAAAGAAATAATTAGTCCAAAAAAAATTGTATCTGTAGTTTTACAAAATTTCCACATATTAATTTAAAAGAAAATTTTTTTTTATCATAATTTGTTGAGAAAAATTCTGAAATTTTCAATTATCTCTTATTTGCTTTAAGCATCATTTGAACTTTATTTATCTTAAAGTATGACATTTCAATACGCTGTTTGGACAATATCAAAGTTACTGTTTCAAAGTGCTCTTATTCCGCCAATTATAATTACCACTTTATTAAGACATGTACGCTTGTACGGATGAATACAAGTGGAATATAACAAAAGAGAAAACACATTATATTATTGAGTAGTTTTTGTCTATATTCGCCGCGCAGTGACAAAAGAGAGAACTAAAGTGGTCGATTGTGTGAGAAAGCGAATGGTGAACCAATCGGCTGGAAGATGGCGACTATTCAAGTATCCCGATAACAAAAGAATCATAGAGAATAATCGAGTTTTATGGGCTTTTGCAATATATAATACGCGATAAAGGACATAAATGTATATGTAGTTTGAGGGATTGAGTAAAGAGTAAAACTTGTGTCATTAAAAAAAATATATGTTTTGCCGTGCAGTACTCAAGTGGGTCACGTTTAAATGAATGTACTTTACAAATTTTCTTTCTCTTTGGGTTAATGCTCAAATGATCATAGGAAGAATTAAAGAAAGGTGGAAGGAAGGAAGAAAGAGTGTAAGAGTGACCGGGAAATGAGAGCAGACAATTTTGTAGCCTTAAGGCGTGATATGAATATTGAAATTCTCATTATTCTCCACGGGAATTTCCCTTCAGCGGTCGAATAAATGTTGGTCTGTATAACTAACACTTGTGCGATTACAATTACTGGTGCTAAAGGAGTGAAATATAAAGTGTGGAGTATAGCATGGGATAGAGAATAGGGAGTTAGGAATAAAGGAAAGAGGAGAGGGGAAGAGGATGTTAGTAGATATAATTTAAAGTTTCTCAAACTAGTTCGGCTTGATTTTAAATGTATTCTCTTCCGTCAGATATCCTGTGAAATAGAGATACCCTTTTCCGCGAAGTTTAACCCGACTCGAGTCTGTTATGCTTGTTAATATATGACATCAGTAGTATGAATTTTCAGTAGATAAAATAATTTAAAAACTGACGCTAACATGGCCGAAATGAGATTGAAGCTGGTGTGAAAAATTTATTAATCGGCAAAATGAGGCTCTGGCATCTGTAACTTTGCAATTACTCTGCTCGGGTGTTTAATTAATATTAATCCACCATTTTCACAACTTTGGCTCTTACGATAAATATTTCCGCATTGCGATCTGTGTTACTTTTGGCGAAGCTGCTATTCGGGTAATGAAAGTCTGTGACCGACATAGAACTTAATTATTTGGTGAAAAATTAATGACTCGGATCGATGGGTGTCTATTATTCAAAAATTTTTTCCGCAGAAAATTTTTATTTTTTTAAAGTATAACTTTTTAGCAAAAGTAGAACACGCCTTTTTTTATATAAAGAATTGATTCTTTAGGGCATAAAAAAATATTTTTTATTGAATATTGTAGGTATAAAAGTTGAACGGAAATTTTTCTGGATAAAATTGAATAATGAAAAAAAAAAAATCTTTCTTTGATGTGAATTTTTCTACAATATTCACAATTAATTAATTTGTTAACTATTAGAAATTATTCTTTAACAAATATGAAAGTCATAAAATATTTATTAAGAATTAATAAATATCTTTGGGACTAAATGTGACTTGTATTATTACATCAATAATTTAAACCTTGTAACGAAATATTATCAAATCGATTATTATCATCTCTGTTATTTAATTTGCTACATTAGAAAAAAAAAACTATTAATTTACCTGAGTAATTGGATTTTTTTTTATCTACTCAAGTTAAGGGGTTATATAAAGTGTTTTAATAGAATTGTTATTCTCACTTTTTGTTGAAGGGTCCAAATAAAGTGTTATAAAAAATTGATGAATATTGTAATAAATAAACAATTTGTTAAATTTTTATAAATATTTTTCAAGTATTAACAAATCCTTCCATCAATTTTGGTTTTCAGATTTTAACATTTAATAAAAATTTCACTTATGTAAATATTCCACCCTAAAACTCGCAAACAATAACTTCGTTGAAAGTTATTTATTATTCAAAAAAGAGTTTCTGTAAAAAGTTGTTATCACGGACAAAATTTCTATAAAAATAAAGCTGGTGTGGTATTTTTCTCCATCGGAACTAGATTAAAAAACAAAAAAATAGAAACGGTACGTCGATTCTTTCTGAATTTTGACTGTATATCATTTCAACCCGTTTCGTCAGTGCAATATTTTATTCCTGTAGCTCGACCATCTGGAAAATTGGAATACAACGGCATTGGTTGGGTATGCCAATAACTTGTACAACTGTCGCCTGTAAAAAGATAAAATATTTTTTAAAAATAGGAATAACAATAATTTTACGTGTATATAAAGGAATGGAGCGCAAAGAGAACAAGACGCGAAATCCGGCTAAACATTTATAAACATAAGCTTCGGAAAAATTGAATGGTTGGATTAACCAAAAAAAATAAATAAATAAAAGAGGCATAGTAAAAAAAACCGTGGGTTTTTCAAGTGTCCACTTCTGTTAAAGTGAGATAATAATTCATTGATGAATGTGCTTGCGTGTTGATTGTATATGCGTGATGTACGATCGACAGAGCGAATCAACGCAAATGAACGCATATATTGACGTTAACGAGAGATGGACTTGAATTTCGGAGAGTGACCGATAAATTTGCAGTCTATTTTATTTAGAACTCGGTGTCATTGTGTGTGACTATTGTGCAGGCGTGAACAGACGGTAGCTGTTGGATGTTGGATGCAGGATGTTGGATGCAGGATGTTGGGTGGTGGTTTGGTAAAAATCCGCCGAAACTGACATCACATCAACTATTCCACAGGTGTGAGAGCTTTATCTGAATCCCCGAATGCTCGTGTATTATTGATATGAACAAAGGTACACAACTGAGTGCGAACTAACGTGTTGGAAACTTTTTTCGGCTAGCTTGTATTATTCACTCGCAAATAAAAAGATATTTTTCGGGTCGTGGAAGCGACAAAATTTGTTGAACTTCACGGATAAAGACCAGTTGAATTTCCACAGTTTATAGTGTATATTTTCTAAGTTAGACAGACATCTTCGGCAAAAAACTAGAAAAATTATAATTTCAAGTAATATTTTTATGTTTGAAAATAGTTTTGGCTTGATATAGCTTTATATGTTCTAATTTATCCTAATAGACCTGATATTGGTATTTTATGTCCATGTATAATTTTTCAACCTAGTGATTAAAATCTCCGAAAAAACTTGAAGCAGTTACAACGAAAGTTATTAAAAAAAAAAAAACATCGTACGAGTGTGAAAAAATATTACAGACATAGAGAAAGCACAATTCAATTTCTCCGCAATAAAAATATAAAAATAGTAGAAAAAAAAGTTTTAATGATGAACATGAAGATTTTTCGAGTCGTTGATTTCAGAAGCGATCAATTAAAAGGTATTTTTTTTTTTTTTTCCAATTATGCATTTTTTTCCCTACTCGCTCTCAGAGCTCTTGATATTTATTTCATGTTTACTACGCCTTTTCTGTTAACATATTTCCCTCTTAATAACTTATTTATTTGACTCGATGAATAAATTTCTTCTAAGCAGTCCCACGCACGAATAAATAAATACATGTATAGAGAAAATCCGCTCAGTCTTTAAATCGGATAAGAAGATACGAAGCAATATAAGCAATAATAGTAACTCTGCATGTAACTGTCATGTAAATAGTGTTCAGCAAAGCATTTTATCTCTATTGAAATATTCCATTTGATCTCTGATGTTTTTCACCAGTTTTTTTTTTTTTTTTTTTTTTTTTTTTTTTTTTTTTTTTTTTTTTTTTATAACGCAGTACAGAAAATTCAACTTTATCCTTATCTTTTTTCGTTAAATTTATTTGCAACGTAACGTAACAAAATCGAGTATGGATTTCGGCGAAAATATTCCGACGCTTACGATTCTTCATTTCGAGAATTCATTCAAAGTTACTCCCGTTATTTCTGTTTCATTTCACCGTTGAACGGAAAAAGTTAAATAAAAAAAGCTTACGTACTTTTACACTCGACTTGTTTATTCCATATGCGACAATGTCTCCAAACAGGTTTATTTTTTACCCGTATACGAAAAGGTCACACCGACAACATACCCAGCCACCCCGACACGTGTCCCCTTCACACACCACCGTTTTATGTTACAATGTCATTTGCTACGAAATGAGAGTGTTATTTAGCTAAGAAAATGGATACACACTACTGTGCTACACCCAGGAATAAAATTCCGTTAACACCTTCTGCAAACACAAATTACTATCCTTCTCGACTTTATTTTTCTCGCTGGATCTTGCTTGCAGTCGAAAGCTTGCTAAATAACGAAATAAAACTAAAAGAGCCTTCAACATCTAGCATCTAGCATCTAGCTTATAGTATCTAGTCAGAGCTAACGGCTCAAAGGTTTAGTTCCTAATTTCATTTAGTTTATTTACCTTAACTCCTTTTTATCCTAAAGACTTGGTAATAACATCGCTGATTAAAAGCTCGACACGGGGACTTTGAATGCCGGTGCTTTCTTAGCTTTAACATCAACGACTTGAATTCCATCGATCGCAATCGTAGATTCATCGGGGGTGGGAGCGCTAGTTCTATCAGCAGTTTCTTCGCCCAGTTGACCTACAACCCTCGACTCTTGACTTGTTCGTTGATGCTGATGCTGCTGCTGTTGTTGCTGCTGCGGTTCTATCACCAATCTTATGTTCACTGTGTTCTTCCACCATCTGTGCCAAGGTGCAAGCTGGTCCTTAGAGTAACGTAAACAAAAAACAAAACTATTCATAAAGTTAAAATTTTTCTACATATCTATTTTTTTTATTAAATTAATAAATTTTGATATTTATTTTTTTTTTATAATCTACACTTTTTTTTTCTGAGTCACAAATAAACGAATTATATTTTCGAGTAGATTTCATGTAAACAGATAATGATCTCATAGAAAATCTTGGAAATTCTAGAAATCCTCATTATTTATTGTAAGTATATATAATAATAAAACTAATCGGATCAAGTATCGAAGCATTATGTTTCATCCACTGTTGTCGTTAGCATAAAAGCTTAGTGAATGTTTACAAAGGCCATTTGTAAATTTAAAATATTCTATTTCATTTCATACAAGGGAATACGATCTATTAATTTTATAGTAACTCACATTTTAAATTTCCTTGTTAAAAATTGTCGTGAATAATTTGAGTTTTTATTTCATTTATGAAATTTTCCAATACAGATATTTTAATCACTGCTTAAAATATTACAAAGGTATCTGGGATATAATTAGATATTTTATGTCATCTGTTTTTCCTTTGAATATTAATATATTTATTTTCACTAAATTGAAAAGATAATAATTGTTACAATAGATAAAATAAAATAAAAAAGTTGTTAAAGGAATAAAATTTGGTTAAAGTTAAACAATCTAAAAAACGACTTTTTTTGTAAAACAGCCGTAGAACAGAAATGAACAAAGCACTAGTTCGAATTGCGACTATCAAACGAAATTTCGCAAAAACAAAACGCTTTGAACAGTTTGCAATAAACGGGTTCTGTACGACACAAGTAGCGACACAATATATTATTCCTTTGTTTATTAGTTACAAATTTGAAAGACTTTACAGTTCATTGTTCACGAAGTAATTTTTGCAGCGAATTTTCAAGCTGTTAAATTAAATAGTGCTGTATTGGACTGGACATCCATGAAGTAGTTTTAATGACAAATGATTTCTAGTATAGTTTGGTGAATGCGAAGTTAAGAGAAACAACGAAAATTGAAATGGGAGCAGAGGTGCTCCTACAAGTGAACAACCATCAGAGGAAATGATTACAAAAGTTGCGTCAAAGGAGTAATGATGTTAATTATAAGCTTTGCAATCACTAAGCTTAAGCGATAAACGTGTGGAAATTGTACCTGAGGGTTTCTAAACAATAGCTTGTAGTATCTAGTGGTTTTAATAAATTGACTTAATCTTAACAAATTTCAATTTTAATTGTTATTATTATCATCACACGGAGTGAATTTAGTTATATTATCTGCAATACGAAATTTTTAGTTTTAACCATCTAAAATAGTAGCAAAATTTTTCAGTGTTGAGAAATAATTGATTTCATAATTTTGTAATTAGAATTAATAATCATTTAATATAACTTTATATAATAAAGTATTGTAATATTTTTTATCACAAATATAGTAGTTATTGGTAAGGAGTGCAATGATTACTATCGAGGATTATTAATTCTTATCGAGTTAAATTAAATAACTCTAAAATAACTAGATGATAATTTTTACTATTTAATTTTCTCCGTTTATTATTATTATTATTATTATTATTATTATTATTATTATTATTATTATTATTATTATTATTATTGGCATAAAAATTATAAAAATGATTATGTGAATAGAAGCACGAAATGGAACTAGAGTATATATAAATTACAAGGTAGACATTATTTGAGTGTGTACTCGTTTGGCAAACCCTACTCATACAGTTCTCTTATATCAACTGACGTTGAACCCTCTCAGCAAAAAGTCCTCGGGACTACGTTTGTTCCGGCTCACGTAGCCGACGTTCAACGATCGTGTTGCTGATCATATTACCATATTTTTATCATTTGCTTTTTACCTCTCAGTCAATAGACGTATACATGTAGATAAGAGCGTACTTGTATTTCTCAGTACACCTACGTACGAACTATCATTCTACCGTGTGGTTTTTTACATCTATATACATATATTACATTCTAGGCCATCGATGAATCGCAAGGGAAAAGTTTCGCATAAACCCATTGGCTTACAATGCTGGTAAGAATTATTTTTTTTTTTTTAATTAAGTGCAAGTATTATAAGATGTTCTAGTTTATCGTTTACACGGAAAAAAAAATATCGCTCTCAGAGCTATATTGTAATGCTACAGTAACTATCCCCACTCGACTAACTGTTAGAGAGTTACTAGAGCCATCTAGTAGATCGCTCTGGCAGGTATACAGTAGATGGCTAAAATAGCTAAACCGTTGAGCTGGGAGAGCAATACGGGATTGCTGTGAGGGGTAAACGCCTCGTTGAAGTCTCAGATTCTGCGCGCAGTCTTGTTTGTTGACATATTTTATAACCTTTAAAATTAATATAATTATTTACTAGCAATCTGTAGTTAATATGCGACTGTCAAGAGTTATGAATTATAATTAAAAAAACTTTGGCTTATTAATTTTTTGTTTTTTCCAATAGAGATATTAATAGTTTGAGTACTTTTTAAATAAATTTGAAAATAATTAGTGCAATGAAAAAATCAAATCCGAATAATTTAATGAAAAATATGGTGGAGCAAATTTATAGAACCAAAAAATTATTTAAAACCCCTTCCGAAATTCGAAAAAAAACAGTCGAAATATTTAAAACACAGGAATGTGTGTAGAAACATTTAATTTGTATAATTATTTTTTTTAAAATGGTACATGAAAAATAAATAAATAATATCAAAAATGTGATACTAAAGTTAGTTGACAACCGTCAATTTTTTTTTTAAATTTTATAACAAATCAATGACAGTAAAAAATGCTTCTAAAAATTTTCACTAAGAATTTTTTTTAATTCTCACATGTGGAATTTTTTCATTAAATTTTTTACGTAATAATTTTATTGCTAAAAATTTCTAATGTCTTTCAACTTCAATGTCATTCAAAAACTTAATAATTTAATATGTAATCTATTTTTTAATTCTTAATTACTTATTTTTTTTTTTATTTATCCATACAATTTTTAAATAAAAATTAACAAAAGATTAGAAGAATAAAATGTTTTGATTTTATAATCATGAGGTTTGAGGTTGGTTGTTCATATTTTATGACAAATAAATACTTATCAATATTTAATTAAAACAAATATTTGTCATTTTTTTTTAATTGATCATTGGCACAAAAAAACACGTGTGTCACTTTTATGTGGTCCGGATAAATATGTTTTGTCCGGTAAGAGGGCGTTGTAAGACAAATGTAGTTGGCGATTCTAGCTATCTAACAGATCGCTCCAGTAGCCATACCGTATTGCTGCTATAGGAATGCACAATGCTACAGTAACTTTCTACGAGTAGGTATCTAATAGATGGCTCCAGTAACAATATTTTTTTTTTCCGTGTAGTATCTACTTTTTTAAGTTAATTTATTATTATTGTTATTGTTATTATTCAATAAGAAAATAATGATAAAAAGTTAGTTTGTTAAAAAATTTGATTGATCGAATTTTTCAAAGAAACTCAAATTAATTTATTGGATAAATAACAAAAAAGAGAAAAAAGGGAATAAAAAGAGCGATGATTAGTACCTTGACAAGAAGATAAACGGTAGTACAGTATCCAAGAATGACAACGGTAATAAAAAAAACAATGGCGCCACGTGTCCACAGTCTTGATATACCGATTTTTCTTCCCTCGATAATAAAATATCTCATGCCTGAAACATATTCTCGTTTATGTATATTTATATAGATATATAACTCTTTTATCTGTTATTCCTTTCATTTATATTTATATTGTATTTTATTCTGCTTCGGGTGTGTGTTCGTATGTGTGGGCGGGTGTTTTTCACATGATATCACGCGGTGTAATAGCCGTTGTTACCCGAGAACTAGAGAGTAAAAGATAAATAAAATAAAATAGAATAAAAAATGGTGTATAGAAATAAATAAAGAGAGAACGGCAAGTAATCGGAATAGTGGTAGCACTCGTTTATCCGTTCGATGTCAATAGACACAAGCCCGGTGTAGTGAAATTCGTCGAATAGTCGACAGAAACGAGGACTATAGACCGGCTACACTCGAAACAAAGGCAACCCGAAATTTCCGTCGCGCTGTAACGAACGCCCAATCTGACAATTGTGGTAAATCGTAAACAATGCTCGTATAAATACCGATTAAATTTTATTTTGACGTATATACGTATTCAATTTATTTGCGACAATGAACACACACTCAGTTATGCTTAAAATTTTAAACTATTTCTTACCCAATAAACAAACTACCACCAAACCCGTAGTCACTATTGTAAGTAGTGTAACTACCGCCAAGTCAGACTTTAAGTGATGTAGATTCCGTGGATGCCTCATCCAGATTCTTAATGACTCCTTCCTAAAAAATATTTTATTATTTATCATGAATATTTTTTAAAGAATTTAAGGTTAAATTTAATACATGATAAACTTTTATTTTTTTTTTTTTTACGTAAAACTTTCTTCAATTACTCTCCAACTTATCCCTTGAAAAAAATTTTTATTGCTTATCCCTTGAAAATTGGCCATATCGAGCCATATCTGACTTTACATGGTCACATATGCCAACATGGCAAATAATTATTTGTGAAATTTACAGAATAGCCAGATCGACCCATATAAGACAAGACAGAGCCATGTCAGAAAATTTTATCGTAGGATGTTTCAATTCAACTTATTTACCCATCAAAGTAATGTCTATACATCGGTCGACCCTAATCATAAATAACAGGGCAACTTAATACTAAATCAAAACAAATATTCACTCCGAAAATCCTCAAACATAATTTTTGAATATGAGTGGAATATTTTAGGATAATCCAACATTATTTTGATAACACACGACTCTGATATTATTCTTTCACTTTTAAATTGTGATATTTTTGTCTTCAGGAATAACTAAAACACACTCTCTCTATTTTTAAAAACTTACTCAAGATTAAAGAATAATTTCAATTACTCAAATAATTTATTTATTCACCTGACAGTGACACGTCTTTTGAAAACTTTTCTCTTTCAGAATTCAACTCAAGAGAGCTTCGCTTTTTAACTTCTCTCCCTCTAATTAACTTAACCTTTGACACCTCTACGATAATTACTCGAGTTATTGATTCACTTATCCTATAAATATTCCAAAAAACTTTTACACTAAGATTGAGAGTCGAAAGATTATTGATAATAATAATTAATTAACTTAAATAGAATTATAAAGTACACTTGTGTTTCTTAAGAAGCTTATCTGGTATGAATTTTTAGTTTAATCAAACAGGAAAAAAATTATAAAATATGCTCAGACTCATGTTAATTTTTAATGTTTCAAATAGTAATTCGGAGTTCGGAGTGAAAATTTTCGTTGAAAATTTCATAGCCGTCAATACTATATTTGAAATACTATTTTTACTGTATAATTGTTTAATTGTAGCATTCTTATAACAAATATCATCAATTAATTATTGAAATCATGATTTTTCATTTTTTTCCGTGCATCTACTACTATTTTTGTTTAATAAAACGTGATTATTAACATATGCACACAATAAAAAAAAAAAAAAAAAAAATAATTGATGTGGTCGTACATGAGCGGACATGGAGAATGACCATATCAGCAAATTTTTTCACGAATTTAACGTTTAGTATGACTGATATTCGGGTTTTTAAAAGAATGAAAGTATGTATGTGCCTCTATAGCTCTCTTTCGATCTCTGTGTGTGGAAGTATCGTTGAGGTGTTAAACTCGTTTGCGACTTCGATCAATCTTCCACGCGAACCACACTATCCTAGGTACACCGTTTACCGCTTAACGGAGCACGAACTGTGTCTGATGGCCCGACAGATTCCTGTGAGCTTCAAAATCTCACACAGTTGGTACGGCAAAAAACTGTAGGGTAGTTTCGCCGAACAGAGTAGGTTACGCAGACTTGAAAGAGTGAGTGAGAAAAAATAAGGGAATGAGTAAGTGAGAACTGTCGATTGCTTTTCGACAAATTACCTTCCGGTTCATACTCTCGCGATGTCTTGTTTTCTGTTTGCTTTTCCTTTTTTATTTCTTACTTACTTACTGAGAGCTATCTTCTCTGTTATTGCCTGTACATTGTATAAATATGTATGTATAAATGCATAAATGCATGCATCTATATATGAGAGAGTGTGTGTGTGGGGCGACATAAAGGATTCAGCACTCAACAAACTGAAACTCTAGACTTATTTCAATATATAGTTATAAGGTGTATGGTACGGTATAGTTAGCCTTTTGTTTCTCGCGTTTAATTACTCACCAGTGATAACGAGGAGTCTCTACGGCATTGAAACGGTAGCGACACAACTCACAGTGGTTACGACAAGACTGGTTTAACCACCGTTCCAAACATGAAAGATGAACATACGCCAGTGTTCCTTTGCATCTGGAATTAATGTATATAAGTACTCTCTGTAAATATGTTATTCAATTTCAGGTTGAATGTCTGGATTTATTTCATTTATTGTAATTATTAACAGACCCTTATTTAATTACGCTAATGATATTTCATGTTTCTTCATGTATGAATGTGTTTTACGCTATTTAAAAAAAATTTCAATTTTTAGTCGTCACTTATGAAGAAGCTTTCGAAAAAACTTTTCAAATTCTTTAGAGCAATTATAAGCAAGGTTAGTTAAGAAATATTTGTAGTTGAAAGAATTTCCAATACTAACTTTTTGCCCAATTTTCGTACCTATTTTAGGTATTTTAAGGAGATCCTAGTGAAGTTGTTAATAATATAAAATTGAAAAAATTACAAAAATATGAAACTTTAAACGACTTTGATTAGTTTTCGGAAAAAAAAACACTGAACTGTTTCTTAATGATTTTCGTTGAATTTTAATTTTGAAAAGTAACAACAAGCTAGGCTATATATGGGACAAAATGGACAATAAGAATAGATTTTTCTTCAAAATAAATATGGAAACAATACCTAAAATTTTCATAATTTTACAAAATTATGTTTAAATTAATTTAACTTTAAATATAATCTAAAAAAAAATTCACTTGATTCAAGAGAAAAATTCTTTGTCTTGGTACTTTACATTATTCTAATAAATGTTTTTAAAACTTTTTAAAACGTTTCAATTATGGACGTACTACCTCAAATATACAATTTATAATAAAAATAATACGTCTAATAAATGAAATATCTCTTGTAATAAATGTTTAAACAGTATCCACTTTTTATGGTAGTTACCAGTGTATATAATTTCCTCGAAGAGAGATTCTTTATTTTTCCATAAAATATATATTAATATCGGAAATAAAAAGCTCACTTCTGCTAACGACTTTTAAATATCATTATTACACATTTTAACCAAATAAAATCTGTGAATTTACAAAGACGGATTTTTCCATGGAATATTATAGGTAAAGTAATAAAATAAACGGTTTACTTGTTGGTTTAATACACATGGATCCAATTACTGTGAATGAATACTCGAAAAATGAAGTACTGATTCAAAGAATATTTTTCACAGTGAATAAAATATTTTATCAAGCAATGAACATATTTTTTTTTTTTTTTTTTTTTTTCAATTTAACTCACGCAAATTCATAAAAAGATCAAAAGGATTTTAATTCTGTAAATTTCCCATGGGCTATTAAATATTAGAACCAATAAGCATAGTATAATTTTTATTGACATGAAATAGCTTTGAATTTCTCGAATGTTCCTAATTTTTATAAGGAAAAAAATTTTATAAATTTAATAAATCGAAAAAAAATTAACTTACAAAATTAACTTACGAAATTTACGCGCAAAGAAGAAATGTGCAATAATTTTACATCAGAATGTTTAGTTATAAAAATTGTTAATGACCGTAAAAAAATTAACTGTAAATAAATAAATCATTCTGAATATAAAATAAATTTAAAATAACATAACCGATAAAAGCATATCATGAAAACAACATTTTTATTGATATTTTTGGACAGTAAAATACCGGGTCACAAAAATTTTCTGAAACTGTGTCCGTTACTCGATGAATGTTTTAATTGAATTTCGACATTCGCGTCCTTTTTTCGCTAGCGCTACATGCTAAAAAAAATTACAGCAGTCATTAATTTTGATGACCCGCGGAATTATCCACAGAGAGTTTATACTTTATGTGAACCAAAACTGTTTTGATGATATTTTATAGAGAGTTAGAGTGCGAGCGATAAAAAAGTATAAATCGTTTTTAAAAATATATATATATATATATATATATATATATATATATATATATATAT